CTTCAGGCTTAAGAGTAGTTGAGATTTACAGGTATGTGCTGCCAAACCTAGTTTAGCATGTTTTTAAATGGGTTCTTCAGGGCACTTGCATAGCTGTAATTTAACTGCTAAACTAAGCACTGGGTATGATGGCACATGCCTATAACCCCAGCACTTGGGAGGCTGAGGTAGGAGGATCAGTGCCAGCCTGGACTACAAAGTGAGTTCAAGGTCAGTCTGAATTTCATAGCAGAAACCCTGTCTAAAAAAAGACTAAATAAATAAATAAACTCAGAATACTAGAACCCATTGTTCTTCCCTTGAACAGGGCTCTTCTGCTACTTAAGACCAAAAAGCTCTGTTACTGAAGCAATGTTACTGAATTTTTTTCCTCTGCTTTAACTTATATATATGAGGATATAAAGTGAGGGAGGCATCTATGTTACTTTCCAGTACTGTACTTAGGATGCCAACCTTACACAATCTTCTTTGTCACATTAACCTTCCCAATAGATAGTGACCAAAAAAAATAAGATGCAAACCACATGTGTAATTTTAAATTTTCTGGTAGTTACATTAAAAAAGGAATGAGAAACAGGAAGAATTAATTTAATAATATATTAAGTTAATATATCCAACATATTATTTTAGTATCTAATAAACAGAAAATTTCTAGAAATTTGCATTTCTGTGTTATACACCAAATCTTTGAAGTCTGGTATCTTACCAGAGATGTAATATAGTACATCTCCAATAGCATGACTACATTCCAAATGCTCAGTGGTCATTTCCGACCTAGTAGTTTCAATATTGAACAATGCAGTTTTAAACATTCATTAAAAGCTCCCATGTTATTTCTTGCCAAAACACAATGCAGGTCCATGTTTATAAGCCTATTCTTGATCCTCCCATACTAAGTAGCCTCAGACAAGACTTAGCCTAAGTCTTCCTACCTCACTCTTCAACTTTCTTAATGGAATTGTTAAATTGCCTGTTCTGTATTCAAGGAGGATATTTGGAATTTGAAGAGTATAGGGAGCTCTCCTGAGACCTAGAAAGTGACCATTCTAGTATTTCCAAAGCTGTTCTAGTGGAGTTCAGTTTGTTTGTCTGTTTTTTGTGACAGGGTTTTGCTAGGCAGTTCAGGTTGGCCTTGAACTCACTTTGTAGCCCACACTGGCCTCAAACTCAAAAGTGATCCTCCTGCCTTAGCCTCCCAAGTTCTGGGATTACAGGTGTGCACCACCGTACACAGCATCAGTTCTTATAACTCTGTGAAACTGAAATGGGTAACAAAAGGTCTGCCTTTCTCTTACAACTGCCAATTTCCATAGATTAAAACAAATTGATTTCAATTCTTTTTTTTTTTTTTTTTTTTTTTTTGTCTTTTTGAGACAGGGTCTCTCTGTGCAGTTCAGGCTGGCCTTGAGCTCACTTTGTAGCCTAGGCTGGTCTTGAACTCACAATGATCCTCCTGCCTCAGCCTCCCGAGTGCTGGGATTACAGGCATGAGCCACTACGCCCGGCTAATTCTTTACATCTTAATTATGCTATTTCACCAAATTCAGTAATCAAGTAATTCAGTAATCTTCTTAAGATCTTAAGCAGTCTAAGTTTGAATATTCTAAAATTAATTACTGTAGTATTGTACTAACAGCATTCTTCTCATTTCTACCACGTGAGTCAACCGGCTACTTTAACAATTTGATTTTATTTTCTTGGTTTTGTTCGTTTGTTTTGGTACCAGGGATCAAACTCACAACCTATGCTTGCCATGCAGTCACTTGTGCCACTAATCTAAATCCCCAGCCCCTTACTTCAACAATTTGAGGTTGAACACTTTCAGTTCCACCCTTGTCTGATTTCCTTAAATTCAAAGATCACACTCAGGACTGAAGATGCAGCTCAGTGACAGAGAACTTTCCCAGCATGCATGAGGCCCAGGTTTGATCCTCCATACCCCACAACAAAATAATGACAAAATAAATTTCACACTTAGGCTTTAAGAGATGTGATAACTTGGCAACTTTTGATGCTCAATGCCCATATCTCACCCAAAAGTAAAAATGTGAACAACCAGTGAGACTTACTGTTCTGAACGATATATATAAGTTTCTTTAGGAAATATTTTTCTGATCTATCAATATAAGTTCTCCCATGTTACATATCAATATCACTACAGTATAAATAAGATCTTCCTCTTTCTTCCAGAGTGGTGTAATCTGGCTATTTACTTACAACCAAATGAATGCTTCCACCAATTCTCAAATGTGGAAGACGAGAGAGCATGACCACTGAAAGAAGCTTCACTATGAACTTAAAACATGAGGAGTGGGGATAAGAAATTAAGAAATTCAAATTTTCAGATTGAAATAAATTGTCAATAAAATACTAATGGAAATATACCTGAGTGTAGTGTTGTACCTTGGTAATTCCAGCACTTGCGAGGCTGAGGTAGGCAAATCACCATGAGTTTAAGGCCAGTCTGGCTACATAGTGATTTCAAGGCAAGCTTTTTAACTATAAAGCAAGACTCTGCCTCAAAAATCAATCAATCAAATGAACTGCAAACAAATAAACTTATATTCTGTAGCCTTGTTCCATATACAGATGCCATGTAAATTCCTAGAGAGCCTACTTGCAGAGATACAGCCATGTCCATCATTTAGAAGGAGAAACTATGCCAGCCGTTATCTCCCAATTAATTCATAATCCAAGAAAGGAAAAACACAGTGGAAAGTTCAAGCTAAAGACAGTAGCCTGGAATCTAGACTTTATATCTGCCATGAAATTCTAAAACCCCAGAATCTTTTCCCAAAGTGTCACCTCACTTTTCTCTTGAATGTGCTATCTCCTGTCAGATTTACCAACCCGGATATTCTTCCTCACTCTCTTGTCTTCCCAATTCTGGCCTCACTTCATGAAGCTACAAGTACCTGTAAGCAAATGACTCAGTCCTCAGGCTGAGTAGAAATGTCCGGAATGTAGTCCTATCTTATCTTGTCAAGAATGTTGGGGGCTGGGGATTTAGCTCAGCGGCACAAGCGCCTGCCTTGCAAGCAGACAGTTGTGAGTTTGATCCCCGATACTGATAAAAAGGAAAAAGACCAAAAAAAAGGTTATCTGCTATTAGTTTTCCTGAGGTATGCAGAGTGACCAACAGCATCATAGGGAGGAGGTGGTAGGTAACAAAATCCAGATACACACAGAAAGTCAGGTGGTACAAGTAACTTCTAGTGGTTGAGAAACTCACAAAAATCTACCATTTTACAGCACATCAGTTACAAACAAGGAAAAATACATGTTTTATCACAATGGAGACCAGGGGAAAAGTAGTTAGCTTAAATAATACAGTAAAAAATAAAGGTTGAGAATGGTGCTAGAGTTTGAGACAAGTTCTTGCTATATAGGTTCAGTTTGCATTTGAACTAGATAGCCTAGACTGGCCTCAAAATCAAAATCCTCTTGTTACAGTCTCCTGATGCTGAGGTTGTTGGCCTATGTCATCGTAACTGGCTTGTATTTTGTTTGTTTTGGTTTTGGTACTGGGAATCAAACTCAGGACCTCACATTTGCCAGGCAGGTGCTGTGCCACTGGGCTATATCCATGGCACTGTAAATGCTTTTGTAATTATTATAAACCACATTTTGTAAAATCAGGCATAGAGTTCTGACAGGCTGCTCAGAACTATTTAGATCTTCAGAATCAAATGAAGTGCCAGTATTGTGAGAGGGGTCTACAAAAATAGTAACTTACCTTCACAAATAGTAACTTACCTCTGCCTAGCAGTAAGCAAAGCAACTTTTAAAAATGTGTACATTTTGTTAAAGGTCAAGAGAGGTACACACAAATCATTTCTGCACCTTGTATTAATGTTCTGAGAGATTTTAAGAATGCAGATTTTGAACCAGGCATGGTGGCACATGTCTATAATGCCATCACATGAGAGACTGAGACAGATGGATTGCTGTGAGTCTGAGGCCAGCCTGAACTGCATAGCGAGACTGTCTCAAAGAGACAAAGAAAAAAAATGCAGACTTTGGTTAATTTTGGTTTAAAGATTTCATTTATTTAAGCACATACCTTCTCTCAATCTTGGTAGTCTATTGTATTGTACTTCTTTTAATATATATGTCTTTTAAAAACCGATTATCAATAGTTAACATTGGAATATGTATGGTATGAAGAATAATAGTGAAGAGCCAGGTCCTTAGACATTTCACCACATATATTTTACAACTATCTTCGAAGCCAATAGATCCTTCCATGCGCTCTGTTTACTTTGCCTATCTTCCACAAGTCCTTTCATAATTAGAATTGTTTTTAATCTCCTGGGCTAGAATAGCAGTGTCCTTTTCAAAACATTGCTTAAAATCAGATTCCTTTGATGTTCCCCAACATAAAAAAAAACTTCACTTTTTTTTTTCCTTTTAGTACTGGAGACTGAACTGAAGGCCTTTACACTGTGTTACATCCCCAGATCGTTTTAAAGTTTTTAATTTTAAGACGGTCCCACTAAGTCTAGGCTTGATTCTCCTGCCTCAGCCTCCTCAGCCTCCCAGCATTCTGGTATTATGGGGAGGCACACAGTTTTAAATTCTGGAATTAAAGTAAAAGGTCAGCAAGGTCAAAGAGACAGACAATACCACATGTCTAATTGCCTGATTCTCCCAACCAGCACAGACTTGTAACCTGCACATTCCCTCTGCACACAGCCTTCCCAGGAGCTGGGACATCTTAGAATTTTTCACTTCCCACAGCCCCGCTTCCAGGAACAGCTAAATTAACTCTGCTTTATGAGGAACATTAGAAAAGATACGCTTTCCCCAAACAGGAAGACGGGGAGTCTAGGAGCTACGCAAACTCTGATCTCAAGTACCCCAACTACAGAAGCCACATGGGGGTACCCCGACGACACCCAAGGCCCAGCCTTGTCTCCTCCCGTCCCCATGGCTGCATACCAGGCCAGGCCGCCCCCACTCCACAACAGCAACCCACCCCTACCGTCCCCATCCCAGACCTGGTGCACACGCCAGGCGCCAGGCAGCCTGAGGCTCCCGGGCTTCTTCGTCTAAAAGCTGCAGGCGCCCCTTCCCCACTGACAGAGGTGGGGAGGTCTGGGGGAGTCTCTGGCCTGACCCCAGGCTCGCAGAACGCAGCGGAGAAAAGCCGAGCCCCTGGCACTGATAGCGTCACGCCGGGCGGAGCCAGCTGCCGGGCGCTCACTTAGAGGCCGGAGCCACACCCCCCGGACAACGCCCCCGCGCCTCATTGGCTAGCAGGGCGGCCTTCAGAGCCAATCCCGGGCTCCTGTGCTTGCGCAAACGCCTACCCTGGTTCTAGACCAAAGCGGTCCGGGCTTCCAGAGGCGGGACTGAGTGTGTTTGTTCAATCGGCAGTTTCCTAATAGAAGATTTGCCCATCTGCGGACAGCTAGGACACAACAGTGTAGATTATTTTACAGAAAGGACAAAACGAGGCTCATAGGAAGGGAAGAACATTCTGGAACAGGAAATTAAAATCTATATCCCGTTTTTGGTTTTGGACCTCATTATGAAACCCATCTGGCCTCAAACTGTGTTCCTCTTGCCTCCCAAGTACTGGGATTACACTCCCGTACCACCGCTCCCAACGTAATTTTTTTTTAAAAAAAAGAAACATCAAAGGCGATAAAAGGAAATGAGGAAACTTGCAAGAAAAGGAGTTCGAATAAACTAGACATGGATGTTTACAGCCGTGTAGAAATGTTTAAAATAGTTAAAACTTTCAAAAGGTGTATCTCTGAGCTTCCCACAAAATTTTATTCGACGATTTAAATTTAACTTTGCTAGTATGGTGGAGTAAGGGGTGGGTGAGATGGATCATTCCCCAGTCACTGTCAGTCCAGTCTATGCATCTGTACTCAATACTTCTAAGGTCATACCTGTGAGCCCGAGATGTTTCCCTTCTTTACTCATTCAACCAATACTCCCACGAGGCTTTCAGTGGAGTTAAAAAGATTATTAAGATACAGAGCTCTGTTTCCAGTCTAGCTCCGGACTGAACATGGTATAATAAATGGTACAAGGTGGGCATATGCAGGTGCTCTTCAAGTACAGAGGAGATTGCTTAGAATAGGGTTTAATGTCCCTTCCATTCAGCATAGGCAGGGCATGAGAGATCAGCAGTCAGGCATATGTACAGAGAGAAGGGCATGCCAAACAGAAAGCATGAGCACAGAAACCTAAGCAAAGACCTTTCTTTAGAAATAAACCTCCGTAGCCTGTCATGAGTGAAGCCACAAAAAATAATTAGGATGGGCCTGTGTGTGCCTCCTGGTAAACTGATCACTCACATATTTGATCACTAAGAATGAGACACAGTAAGTCAATATCTAGAATTTTCGGTTCTTGTACTTTGTCATTTGCCAATTGCCAACCTAGACTACAACACTGGTACAACTATGAATTGCTCATCAGGCCTCATTCTGGAATCACAGTGAATGAGACCTATCATGCATCATATCTTGAAATAATTATAGTATTTGTTAATATACACTGAGTACTTACAATGTACCAACTGCTCTTGTAAGGTGTTTCACATATAGTTATGGTCCCTTTCTAGGTCGATACTAGAATCCCATTTTACAGGTAGGTAAACTGTGGCATGGGTCCTGCAGCTCGTGGAGACACTAGGACTTGACCACAAGAAATCAGGCTCTAATACTCCTATTTTCATTCTACAAAAGTTTACAGCCTATCTATTTTGTGACAGGCGCTACCAGTACTTCAAAGAACAAAACCTACAAAGGTCTTCACTCTTATAGAGCATACATGTTAGTAAGGGGCAATAGACAAAAGTAATAAGCAACTTATGTAGGTATGTTAGGAAGTGATACAAGTGATAGTTATAGAAAGTAGAAAAGCATAAAGGGGACAGACATGTACTGGATAATGTGGTTACCATTAAGAAAGCTATCAGGGTAAATCTCATTGGGAAGATCCCAATTTTTCTAATTTTTATTATAATTTTAAAATTATTTAATTAATTTATTCATTTTTGATACAAAGTCTCACTATGCAGTTCAGGCTGGCCTTGGACTCACTTTGTAGCCCCAGCTGGTCTCAGACTCACAGTAATCCTCCTGCCTCAGCCTCCCAAGTGCTGGGATTACAGGAGTATGCCACCATGCTCAGCTTTAAAATAATTTTAAATGTTTAAAAAGGTTTTTTTGGTCTGTTAACACACAAGCATAACCTCAACCCCATGTTATTAACTATATGCAGCTTTAAGAAGATTTTTTTTAAGTATCAAAGTATGTTCTGGAGGTAACCAGATTGTAACAATATTTCCCTTTTTTGTTTATTTAATTTTTTTTTTTTTTTGTCTTTTTGAGACAGGGTCTCGCTTTACAGTTCAGGCTGACCTTGAGCTCACTTTGTAGCTTAGGCTGGTCCCGAACTCTCAATGATCCTCCTGCCTCAGTTTCCAGCCAGGTGCTGGGATTAAAGGCATGAACCACCATGCCTGGCTATGTTTATTTAATTTTTAACAGATTGAAGTGCTCTTTTTCTTAAAGCCTGACATTTGGTGAATGTCTTTGTTTTGGGATGTTTTTATTGATTAGTTTTTTCAAATCCACTTTATTTTAAAGATTAAAAAAAAGAAAACAAAAAAAATAAACTTTCAAAACACACCAGGGGGTAACAATGGTACATACATTGTGCCTTGTAGTCCCAAATCATGGTTAATGTGTCTTTGACCATAGTTGTCTTTTGTACTGAAGACCTGTTATGGTTGATACGTTGTGTCAACTTGAGAAGTTTAGAAATTTAACTAGGACTCAACAGGAAGCCAGAATCCTTCCTCACAGAGGTGGTATGAGTACTACCCTCACCCTAGTGGGGGGTGGGGGTGGCCTGGGTACAATATAAGGGAGGAAAAGAGGCTCGCTCTTTACCACATTTTTCTCTGGCTGCTTTTATGGCTGCTGCCTTGAAGCGTTGCCCTGGTGCCATGGCATCCTGCTTTGGAACCAGCTGATTATGGACTGAAACCTCCACTTACAGAGAGCTAAATAACCTCTCCTTCTTTCATTTTGGGTATTGGGTATTTTATCCCAGCAACACAGAAAAATAACCAAGACAAGGCTCACCCCTACTAACTTCCTGGAATATTTATAATATTATTTTTCTCTGAAGAGTTATCCCCAACTGGGGTTAGGGGAGATTGGGTGGAAACACTAGCATGTCCATGGCCCCAATTTAAAAGTGATGCTAGACCATTTTTTGATTACAGTCCGTATCTATTATGGTTGGGTATAGCTAAGTAATACAGCACCTGCCTGGCAGGTGCACGGTCCTGAGTTCAATGTCCAGTACCAAAAACATAAAGAAAGAAAGAAATCAGGGGCTGGGGATCCAGCTCAGCGGCATAAGCACCTACAGCACCTGCCTTGCAAGCAGGCGGTCATGAGTTCGATCCCCAGTATCGATAAAAAAAAAAAAAAAAAAAGAAATCAAACTTGCCTTTTCTATTATTAATTCCACAAAGCATTCTGGTGGCGGCATATAAATCCCAGTGGGCACTAATAGGGGTTTCTCTCCCTTTAATAAATGTATATGAGAAGTGACAGGTAAATCTAATCCTGCATTCAGGTCAGTTCAGCAGCTGAGTGACGTATGGTCTCACCAGGAACCCACTCTGGTAGAGGCACAGACTTCTGTCTGGTTCGGATTGGGCATGACTGGTTTAACTATGCCTGGATTAGCAGGGTACTGTTTGTTCTCTCCCCAGTTTTTGTCTGGACCTGGATGGGAGCTTGGGGGAGGATGTTCCATTTCCCTGAGGCAAGGAGGAGCTATCCTTATGACACTGAGATCTTCACTTTCTTGTCTAACGAAAACCTTTCATACAAGGACATGGGCCTGGGGGTAAAGCAGACTGTGGTTGAGTTACAGACCACACAGCTGATAGATGAATGCCTGTGTCATTCTTGGATGCAATGAACATTCTCAACCAGTGTGACCCTGTTTACCTCAATAAAAACGTGTAATGGCATCTGGTTTTGTTTGAAGGTGCTGAGAAATAGCCTATGTTGTGATCGCTAAAGAATGAGCAGTAGATACAATATTTTGGCAACATGAATATAAGTAGTCAAATCAGGAGTAGAGAGAATGGTATTTAAAGCATGTTTGCAATTATTAGCATTATCATAAACTAATTTAAGAATAAGAATATCAGCCACCTGATTGTTAGAGATTTGTCAACACACTGCTTCTTGTAGGCGAGTGACAAACTAAGTGTAAGGCTCTAAGGCTTCCTGTAAGTACAGGACTTCAGGACTGATTAAGCGCACCATCTTCTGGGACTGAAAGCCACGTATGGCAAAGAAGGTCACCGGACTGTTTGAAAAGCAGAGCAGATGCTCGTGCCTGAGCTCTTAAATTGGCAAATGCACCTGTTCCCAGGAGCATCTCATAAATAATCGCTTTGGCTGTAGCATCAGCATCCTCCCTATATCTTTGAGCTTGTTTGGTTAATTAATAAGGTTCTCAAGGGAACATCGAAATGCAGAAACTGGGTAGGTGACAAACAGATCCAGCTGATATGGTATCAACCAACAAATATTCCTGAATTTTATTTTCTAGATAACATACTATATGAGGTCTCCATTGTTCAAAACCCTCTGCAGTAATTCCTTCAATACTTTAATATCAAAAGCAGCATGTGTATTCCACTCCTGGCCAGGGATATCAGGTTCAGGCTTGGAGCAGACAGAAAAATGCAAAGGAGCACTCTGCGGGAGGCCTCTTTCATATACACAAATAAGAACCTCGTGAAAATGAGGCTTTCTTGCTACGAAGGAGGAGGGAGGATGGAAGGAGATGGAGAGCTCCGGTCGGGTAGGTGAGGTGAGAGTGGGGAAGCAGATGCAGTGCCTTCAGGATGGGAAGCAGGGGACTAAGCAAGGGGGTCTGCTGCTACTGGAGTGGGGTTTTTTTTGTTGTTGTTGTTGTTGTTTGTTTTTATTCCTGGAGTGCAACTCAGGAAACTGAAACCAACTGAGTAGCTGAGTCCTT